CGAAAAGCTTTTCGTTTCTATTTTTGTTTTTCAGTGCTTTCAGGATTCAGGCTTAGAGATTCCAGCTGAACATTAATTAAGCGTTAGCGTACCGAATAACCTGAATTCCTTGGATGAGGTAGCGAATCTGCTTCATCCGATGAATGATTCTGATAGAAAGGAATGAGCAGAATGAACAGTTCTCTTTTCTGTTGTGTTTTCATAGAAGCATAATTATTTCCACGAAGACTCACTAATTTCAGACATTCTCCTGGAATTTAACGAAGAGTTGGCAGGCGTTTCTCATGGCATGGGAAAACGAGACCGTCTTCCGGACTATCAACTGAATGTTGCTGAGTCAAACACTGAAACCGAAAATCTTCCAGAACAAGTACATTGCAGGACATTTGGTTTTTTTTCCAACTGAAAGTGCGGCTTTTTAGTCTTTCCGGGAAGTACAGTAGAGTTTACTGCAAGGAACCTTGATACTGGAAAAAAGTAGTCAGGGCGCCACCACGTCCCATGCGCAACGGATATTCTTTGTTCAACACGTTCCGATTCGACACCAGTTTCATGCGGTTTTCACGTGTGGCTAATTTTTCTGAAATGCGTCTCTAACTTTCCATCACTGAAAATCACGGGGGTGTGCGATGAAGTTTCAGAAATGATAAATCTGGAAAACCACAGGCTGTGAGGAGAAGTGGGAATATGGCAAATCCAGAAGTATTATAAAAACTTTTCAGAAAGCCAGGGCGAGTCAATTACCCCTAACAACTATATACGACCCATCACGTGAATTTTTCAAACTATGTTGTGGTCTGCATGGTACGCATGGTCACTCGGCCATATAGGGTGTGTTGCGGTTCGGGAACAGTGACCCTACCAGCTCTCCGACATGACCAACTGGTTGCTCACGAGCCCGTGGCTCACCAATGACCACCTCTGTCCCACTTCTTTCTGAGGACTATGCCGCACTCCCGCCCTGAGTGCCACCGCTCCTCGGGGAACTACTAGGGCCTCCGCCTGTGGTAGGCTGTACGGGACGATGACTCTACGTGCATGTCTCCGTGGTGGGCCCGACCCTCCAGCTGCACCCCGGGTCGGTCGGCCGTGCCCATAACCGGTTCGAGGCTGTCATCACGCTTATTCGGTGGCCTTTCTCTAACCCAATAACAAATAAAGGCGCAAAAACATGGCTCACGTGCGCATTTTTGTAACGTCCACAATAGCCAGCATGTGACGAAGATGAAAGTCTAAAAAATTTTCGGTTGGGACTTACGACTATACCCAGGTTACTCACCACCCTAACCAGCTTCTTACTATCAGCTTCTTACAACGTTAATGTATCATTTTGAAAAAAGTGAACTGATAGTTTACGTCTGGGGAATTAAATCGAGGTGATTTTCTTTTCATCATAGTCACCAGGATTCTGGGGGAATAGAAACGAGAGGCTGTCCAACAAATGCATACATGTGCCAGGTACTTATGGCAATTCCTCTTTGATTGAAGCTCTCGATCATCAAAAGAATAACCAACTGAGAGCTACCTCCCGAATGTTGCAGGGCTTTTCTTCCCTGCAACACTCGGGAGGTAGCTCTCGGTTGGTTATAAGAACTATATGTGCAAACGTGAAAATTCTGGGAAATCTAACTTGCAGAATACATGACACTCCACGTGTGTCACGCGCTTACAATGAGAATAAGATCTATATATGACCCGTACGAGGGTGACTCGATTCGGAATGTGTTAAAGCATATTCGCCACGTCAAAAAAGGTCTGTCCACTTACTCATTAGGGATAAGATCACAACTCTGTGGAAATCAATATATTGATTTTGCCTGAAGGTTAAACCGTTTGAAAAAAACGAAATAGAACCCCAGGGTTCCTCAGGACTGTTTGTTCATTTAGGCTACCGAGCTCGTGCGACGGCTTCATTCCTTCATGTCCATGAACGAATTGAGACAGAAATGGGCTCTAGTGACTATCGCTACAGGCACAGAAGAGGTTCTTCAGGATCAAATAACTTCAGTAATGATAGCAACCTCCTGACAATCTTTTATCTCAGTTTTGCAACCACTGTGACACTCCTGATCACTCATCTATCCGACGTGCGCTGGGTATTCTTCGTAAAGGCATTCCAAAGCCTTTGTCGTTCTCCTCGGACCAGTACACG